TTGAGTTTGAGAAGTTCTTTATAGATCTTGGATACCAGCCCTTTATCTGTAGTCTCTTCAATAAATGGTGCTGTGAAAATTGGACAGCTATATACAGAAGAATGAAACCTGACCATTCTCTAACACCATACACAAAATAAACTCAAAATGGATCAAAGACCTCAATGTGAGACAGGAATCTATCAAAATCCTAGAGGAGAATATAGGCAGTAACCTCTTTGACATCGGCCACAGCAACTTCTTTCAAGATTCATCTCCAAAGGCTAGTGGAACAAAAGCAAAAATGAACTACTGGGACTTCATCAAAATAAAAATCTTCTGCACAGCAAAGGAAATAGTCAACAAAGCAAGGAGGCAAGATATGGGAGAAGATATTTGCATTTAATTTTTTAAATTATGAAAGTCAGCATACATACACAAGAGCATATGTAACACGAATGTATTAGTAAGGAAAAGCAATAAAATGAACCGGGGGTAAGAAGGGAGAAAAACAGAAATTAAGACATCCAGATACCTACGGGGGGAAAACACATCCCTGTTAGAAAATTATATTGGAAAAACTGGTTTTTTTAAATTATATATTAGCTTTCCCTTCAATTACGAGGAATCAGTGATCGTTTTATGACGGAAACCTGCTTTCCCCTGTGCTTGGCCGAGCTGACTTCAATCCAGTGTGGTGATCGTATGAATACCACAGTATATTCTGCAGAGGTGGCGAGGACCATATTACCAGAGGTGACAGCCTGGGTAGCTGACTGGAAACAAAGAGAAAAACAGAAATGAGAGTGAGGTGAAAGAAAAGGAGACAAGGGAAACGTATTCTATACTCTACAGCTGCTCTCTGCTCAGCCCCCAGTAGAGCTGTGCATCATGTTTTGTCTCTTGGTTTTGCACAGTTTCTAAAGAAACTTCCCCCTTTTATTTTAAGTAAGAAGGACTTAAGTATTCCAGAAATCAACGGAGCCTGATATTGCATCGAAGTTTGGACATCTACTTACAGGAGAAAAACGCTAGGGTGCTTGTCTGCTTTTGTTTTGGTTTTAGCCTATATATTTTACAAAAATATGTCCATTGTATATTCGAGGTTTTAATGTTTGCTTTAGTTAAAAAGAAAATGACACCCGAAACAGAGCAGTCGAAGCAAACCAGAAGTGAATGTTAACAAGCATTACAGGAAGTCGACAGGAAGCCAAAAGTGTGGGTATGGAAATGAAAAACTTTTCAAAAAACACATCAAGAGCATAGCTGGTGAGGGGGGTAGTTTTCTTAGCATAAGTCAAAGAATATAAATCACTTCATGTACTTTTTTCCCTCAGTTTTTTATGTGTCATGAAATACATATGACATAAAATTTATCATCTTAGCCACTTTTAAGTATACAGTTCAGGGGTATAAAATGCATTATGTATCTCCATCTCTGCCATCCATCTCCAGAACTCTCGTCATCTTGTAAAACTAAACAAGAACTCCCCGCACCCCTCCCCGACCCTCCCCCAGCCCCTGGCAACCACCTTTCTACTTTCTTTATGATTTTGACTACTCTCAACATGTAAGTGAAATCATACAGTACTTGTCTTTTTATGTCTGGTTTATTTCACTTAATATAACATCCTCAAAATTCATCCATATTGTAGCAGGTGTCAGAACGTCCTTCCTTTTTTTTTTTTTTTTTTTAAAGATTTTATTTATTTATTTGACAGAGAGAGAGACACACAGCGAGAACAGGAACACAAGCGGGGGAAGTGGGAGAGGGAGAAGCAGGCTTCCTGCCGAGCAGGGAGCCCGATGCAGGGCTCGATCCCAGGACCCTGGGATCATGACCTGAGCCGAAGGCAGACACTTAATGACTGAGCCACCCAGGTGCCCCACGTTATTCCTTTTTAAGGCTGAATAAGATTCCATCATATGTGGATAGCACCTTTTGCCTACTCATTCATCCACTGATGGACACTTGGGTTACTTCCATGTTTCAGCTATTCTGAATAATGCTGTATAACAAGATTCTTATTTTCCATGTGAACGGAGCTACCCACATCAGAAGTCTCCAAATAGGCTATTTCTCATTAAATTATTAATATTTTGAATAACTAACCTAGGGCCCTAGAATTTATGTAATTCTCATCTTTAGAGCATCTTTGGCAGATATTCTTGGCCTCTCAAAACCAAAGATTATGATTTGGGTTTTTTTTAATTAATTGAAGACAAAACTGATTGTTCACTCAAGAGGCCATTGATAGACATCTACCAAAAGCAATTTTGGTATTATTTATCCAGGGGAACTGGTCTCATTTGGCCAAATCTATTAATAGAATTTGAACCAATGTCTTGAACAATGTCTTCTTCCCTATTGGAGATGTGAGCCACTCTGGGATAGGGATTACAGATGCTTTCTTTGTGTCCCTGGTATAGACTACCACAGGTCTCAGGACACAGTGCCTTTACCTACTTTAACCAGGAGGTAGGTACCTAAAGATAAAAAGCATCTTCCCCCACACCCAAGTATTCACATCTTGTCCTTGCTTACACATTCCTTTGTCTTGTACTATTATAACCTTGAATCAAATAAACAAAACATTGGTTTGTGGCAGAAGCAATCAGCACATGATCTACCAAATAAGATGGACCTCCTTGGATATTAGCCAAAGGAAGTTCTCTGTCTGGCATTTATTACCAGATTCTCCCTTCTCCCCAACTCCACAGCCCCAGCCCTGGGCCCACAATAATCCCCCACACTCTAAGACAGCACGCCATTAATTTCTAGAGGGAACCTCTCAAGTCACAACCCCTCTTGTGGGTTGCCTAAGATAACTGCGCACTTCCATGGGAAAAGCTTACTACATGGTTATTGAGGGAAATGCTATTTGGACCCTGAGATGGACAGAGATCCAAAGGATGGTTGCAGTTGATGCTTTGAATGGCTGGGAACCAGAGTGGATGGGGACTGGATTCTTCTGAAGGGTTCTTAGGACAAAGAACATAGGTTGGTGAGTTTGACCAATAGGATATGGAGGAATTTCGAGGTAAGAGCAGTGTGTGGGGAGGGTTTGTAGGCCTTTGTAGGCCTGGAGCAAAGAATCAGTCAGGAGAGAGTTTTTAGATGAATGAGCCCAACTGGGCTGGTGGGAGGGAGCCAGGCAGGGCTGAGACTAAGATTATTGCATTAATTTTTAATTCCCTTTTTCCTTCTTCTGTTTCCTTTTTACCCCCAAAGATATTCACATTTTGGCATTGCTTACCAATTCCTTTGTCTTACGAGTCTGGTTACTTGAGGATTTATTTAGTGAATGTCGACCAGCACATATCCCATGTTAGGTACAGCGTCATGGAGCATAGAGATGAACTAGTCTGGGACCTTCTCCTCCAAGTGCTTACAGTCTCCCAAAATGCTTGGGATGGTATGCAATAATTGGCAAGTTTTATACTGAAATGTTTTTGCCTGTTTTCTTTTGATTTGCATTCCCTACTTCTGTTTCTCTGCCCTTTGTTTTTTGTTCTGTTGTGGGGTTTTTTGCTACCCTTTGTTTTAAGCATTGCTTTTATCCCTCAGAAGACACAAGCCCAGAAAGAAGATGGTTTTCCTGGCTCTCAGTTTGAAGTTTTAACCTCTCATAAGAAAGGTAAGATATGTTTCCCTTTTCCTTCTCAAACTGAAAGTAAAACTCAGGGCTGTTGTGTTTCTCCTTATACTTGTTTAATTAAGATCAACTAGGATAAAACTTGCCTGCTAATTTGAGATAAAACATGCACTGTTTCAGCCTCCTACTTTCTTTTTACCCATAGGGAAGGTTCCAGGCTTTCTGGTCACTCCCATGGAATTGACCATCATTGTCACAAATGCACCTTACTCTCTCCCCCACATTCCTTCCCCTCTGCAATTTTCATCTTCCTCCTCCGAACCTCCTCTCTTCAGCTCCTACCAGCTACCTGCCTAGGGTCATAACTTTGTTCTATGCCTTTTGTGGGATTTTTTGTTGCATTATCCTTTCCCCCTTAGGAATTGGTTCTGATAACTGTGTCCCCTGACTCTTGGTTCTTCGAGACACCAGCCTGTAGCAACTCAATACACTTCTTATCTTGTATCTCCCCCTAATTTCTCACATGATTATTCTGTCTCCCTTAAGCAACCCCTGGGTAGCACCATGACTTCTATGTCCCTTATACCTACAGAAAAATACTGGACGGCTAGCATGTTCTCTGTTCTCTCATTCCTGGTCCTCCAGGAAGAACCCAACTCATCCTCCCCCACCCCCCCCCCCTCCCCACCCCCACCCCTGCCTCCTACCTACTTTGAAGCAGATGTCTGGTCCCAGGCTGAACAGAGTCAGCCTCCTCAGTGGGGGAAAGGTCAAATCTGCTCAGACATGTTAAGAAGACATTTCACAAGCGTTTGGCTGAACTCATGTACTAATATCTAAATATTGAGTAATATAGAGTAAAAAATTAAAAGGCAGCCAAACAACCCTTTGGCTCATCTTTGAGTCCCTTGAGGTGTTCTGAAAGCTTCTTTTTTTCATGTGGATTTAAAAAAAAAAAAAGCTAGAAATGAGATCTAGCCTAGATTTTGCCCAAGACGAGGCTTTTCCTATTTCCTTGGCTGAGGAATGAGGATTCTAAGACTCCCTGGAAGGACCCTTTGAACTCTGGAAGTTCCAGATTCTACCTGCTGCTCGGAGCTTCCAGGCAGGGGCCCCTGGCTGCTGGCGATGCCCCACGTGACATCACAAGGGCTTTGTGACGCACCCAATGCTGCATCTAGTGTAATACCACGCAGGCAGGGCCGCTCCGCACAATCAGCTATTTGCTCAGAATCCGGGCACTATAAAGTCAGCCATTCAGAAAAATATCTCGTCTTTCAGATCATTCAACCTAGACTCCTGCCTAATTTCACCTGTGACTCAGCTTAGACAGTTTATCAACTACAGAGCAGTCAATGTCTTAATGGTAGGTGGGGGAGCTCGGTGTGCTGAAAAGTGGGAACAACGTGGGGGGGCTCCTTCCATCTGGAATCAGTGGAAGCCGCACATCAAATCACTGAATCTTGAATGGAATGCTGGCTCTGGGGATTAGGATTAAGAAGATATGAGTTTTGGGGCGCCTGGGTGGCTCAGTCGTTAAGCATCTGCCTTCGGCTCAGGTCATGATCTCAGGGTTCTGGGATCGAGCCCCGCATTGGGCTCTCTGCTCCGCGGGAAGCCTGCTTCTCCCTCTCCCACTCCCCCTCCTTGTGTTCCCTCTCTCGCTGTGTCTCTCTCTGTCAAATAAATAAATAAAATAAAATCTTTTAAAAAAAAAAAAAAGAAGATCTGAGTTTTAAAAAAGAGGTTATGGCTACCAGGCTGGATTATGCCACTCTAGAGGTAGGCAGGGCATTTATAATGACTTCAGTTCTCGAAAATCTAATTATTTATAGAAAATTTAGTTGTGACATCATCTAAAGCATAGTCTGTTTTTCTGACTCTGAAAAGACACTTTAAAACAAACCCAATAACTGAATCCAGATTTAGTTTAGGGTTTCGGTTTTTCAGTGTGTACCTGTATGTGCGTGTTTGTGCATTTGGTGGGAGTGGGGGTGGGGCTGGGGGGAGGGGATGGGGGAGAGATGAGGCGCATAGTCCAGAGAACCAGGGGGAGCTCTGCTTTAAGAAACTGTAGTATAAGAAAACTTACATTCGTAAAAATAAAAAAATTGGATGAGGGTAATTTTCCTAAGTGTTCACATGTAGAGAATTTCCTTAATTTTCTTAATATAGAATCCTCCTAGAGAATATGGATTTATTTCCTTCTCCAGCACTAACCCTATCATGAACCCACATGCATATGTTGTCCATTCAATTTGGGTGCCTCCCCTCGCTTACTTTCTTCCTTAGTTTCTAATTGCTTTTGGTGTTTGGTGGAAGTTAAAACAGTCTCAGCAGGTGACATTTATCAGAAGTAGTGGTGGTAATAGAAGTTAACCAGCTTCATTCTCTTCCCACTCATTTTAATCCATCCATTTCCCCCAGTTAGAGGCTACCTTCTCCTCTTAAACATTTGACACTTTTTCTTTGCATAATCAAAGATTTCGTTTTTATTTTTTAAAGATTTTATTTATTTATTTGAGAGAGAGCACAAGCAGGGGGAGTGGCAGGCAGAGGGAGAGGGAGAAGCAGGCTCCCCGCTGAGCAGGGAGCCCGATGAGGGGCTCAATCCCAGGACCCTGGGATCATGACCTGAGCTAAAAGCAGACACTTAACTGACTGAGTCCCCCAGGCACCCCAAAGATTTCTTTTTTAAAGTGTAATTTGTCCAATCAAGGAGACTTCACTGTGCAATGAGAATTTGTCAGGGTGTAAAAGCCTATGTCTTGGAATGCTCCAATATGAATAAACACCCAATCCAGTTTTATACCGCCTCCCTTGATCTAGGATCCTCAGGACTAAGCCCATGCACAGGCCCCTGATTCCATCGAGTCCTGATGCCTAGGGGGGCGAGGGGGGGTGGTTCTGCAGTTCCTTGGGGACACTTTCTTTCCTCCCTGAGCTGGGCCCAGCACCTTCCCAGCCAGGCTATGCTGTAACTTGACCCTAGTTATTGATCAGGTGGCCAGGAGGGGACTGGGTAGGGGGAGGGGTGGCCCGGAGGGAGGGCATGTGTTGCTTGTGAAGTATCCTCAAGCAAAGGAGCAGAGCTGGCCTTTAACAGGGGTGAGTGGGCCATTCCTATAGGCCCAGAGGGTGGGGCCCCGTGGCCCTCCACCCATACACCCCCATCCCGAGTCTCGGCGCCTCCCTCTCTCCCTGGACAGAAGAGCCAGATCTGAGAAGCCACCTTCCCTTACCACCAAGCCCTGCACTCGGTTCTCAGCTTTCTCTGCCCTTCCCACGTAGATGAGTGTCTCTTTATGTGTCGCTAAGGAGGCCGGATTGAAAGTTTGCCTTCAAGTGGGGACTAATCACCCTCAGCCTTTCATTGCCTTTCTCAAATGCATCCGTAGCATCCAACAGCAGCCATTTTAATCCCACAGGTTTTTTTGGTGTGTGTGTGTGTGTGTGTTTTAATTTTATTTATTTGGGAGAGAGAGAGCGCACGAGCAGGAGCAGAGGGAGAGGGAGAAGCAGACTCCCCGCTGAGTAGGGAGCCCTACACAGGCAGGATCCCAGGACCCAGAGATCATGACTCCAGCCAAATGCAGACACTTAACCGACTGAGCCACCCAGGCCCCCGATTCCACGGTTTTTATATTTAGTACTCCCTGCCCCATCTCTCAAATGCTCCAGCCAGAACGTTCCTTTCCACCAGTATTCCATTCCAGTTCCCCACCAGTGAGGTTGGACAAAGCGCACTGCTTCAGCCCACCAGCGGCTGTCAGAGCACCGCCTTCCCACCAGCAATGGGGTCTTAAGGGCCAGGCGGCTAGGGGTGATCCAGCCCCCAAATCCCATTTTGGTGTCTGTTTCCCAGGACCACCCCCACTACCAACTGTTGTAGCTCCAGTTCCTTAGGAAACAGGCTCAGAGACGGAGATTTGCATGCAGGTACTTTATTGGCATGGGTTTGGGAGCCAACATCTGCAAGTGAAGGAAACTGGGTCAAGCAGAGTGTTAACCTTAAAAATAAGACCACCAGTTATTTTGCCAGCAAAAATGGGTTTGAGGAATAGCAGAGACTTGCAACCCAGGACAAGAAAGCTATAGCATAATCTTAGGCAAGTCTGCAGAACAAACAGAAGAATGGTCTTTTACAGAATAAAGGGGATGTTGAGAGGGCGGTAATAAAAAGTTCATTTGGGCCGTATCACAGTCCCTCATTGGCTGAGCAGTGACTGTCCTTCATTGGCTGGGCTGTAGTCACAGTCCCTCATTGGCTGAGCTGTGACTGTCCCTCATTGGCTGGGCTGTAGTCAGTCTCTCATTGGCTGAGCTGTGACTGTCCCTCACTGACTAGGCTGTAGTTACAGTTCCTCATTGGCTGAGCTGTGACTGTCCGTCACTGGCTGGGCTGTAGTCAGTCTCTCATTGGCTGAGTGGTGACTGTCCCTCATTGGCTGGGCTGTAGTCAGTCTCTCATTGGCTGAGCTGTGACTGTCCCTCATTGGCTGGGCTGTAGTTACAGTTCCTCATTGGCTGAGCTGTGACTGTCCCTCATTGGCTGGGCTATGGTCACAGAACCTCATTGGCTGGGCCAGGGGAGGAGGAAACTTTCCTTCCTCTTGCTGGGATACGTAAAATACTATCCCTACAAGGTGCCTCTTTTCCTGTTGGGTCAGCAGTTGACAAGGAGTGCTGGGCAGGAGAGCTCCCCCTGCGGCCTCCTGACTCCCTTCTAAAGGAGATTTTCTTTTATTTTCACAAGAGAAAGAGGGTAGACTGTGATGAGGTTGCAGGAGGGACCTCTATCAGTCCCATGGGCAGCTCTGGGCTGGATGGGTCTTCAGAGTCATCCCAAGTTGAAACAAGGCAGTCTTTAAACACGAGTTCTCTCGGGGAGGCGGAACCTAGGGCAAAGCAGCTTGCCCCACCAAAGGTAGGTCAGGGAAGGGACGCGGCCGCGAGCCAGTACTCGGGGCAGTAGGGTGGAATGGGCGCCCCAGCCCCAAGGTATGATCTAGTGGCACCACACAGCACCACTGGATAAGACA